ACTTTTTATTAAACTACAGGGACTAAAGTAGGTTTTAACCTTTCTTTTTTGACTCTCTCTTCGAAAAAGTAAACGACGGTTTTCAGTTGGCCGACTTCTCTGTAAGTGGGACCTCCAGTTGCAAAAGGTCAAGCATCCCAGTAATCCCTAAGAAATTGGAGAGAATCCATATTCAATTCTATCTCCTTCTCCAAAAATTTTCAGATCTCCATCCATTCCTCCCAGCACACAACTTGAGTCCTTAAGGCAAAGGTAAACGCTGTTCGTCTCATTTCTTGATTTTTAATTTTGTTAAAGTTGATTTTCATGTTATGTTAATTTCCTGATACTTTCCCTCCGTTTCTTTCCAGTATCTCCATTTCTTTAGAATTCGAAAGGCAGAAGCAAAGAGCAGTGAATCAATGTCTTCTCTAATTTCCAGTTAGAATATAACTGTTCCCATCTCTCGGGTACCTTGTTCCAGCGGATATCTCCACCCACTTTTAGCTTCTCACACTTAAAAAGAGTACAGCTGAAAGCAGAGGTATGTTTCTTAATTCGTAGATAATTAGTTTTATACATAATTAGAGATCTACTTATAAGTATTACATTCATACAAAATACTAGCTATTCATCTCTTTATTTTTCATTATTGAAATTTATCACCACATTTTAGACAAAGAAAATAAAGATTTTGTGAATGTATTGTGTCTAAAACTTACGTGTAGATATATCCATATATATAATTTATGTGTAGATAGATCTATATGTATAATTTATGTATTGGTAGATCTATTATATATGCCTTAGATAATTAGTTGATTGATATAACTTGTAATTTCTTTTGACTTAATTTTACTATAATGTGTTATATGAGATTAATACCAAAAGAGTCAATATTGTATCGGTATATGTATTAGTTTTGTTATTGAAATGATATATACCGGATATCAAAATCTTTTGTATATCATTTTTGAATTTATCGTTATAAATATATATATTTTTATAAAAAAAAATAGATATTTTGTAACAAATAAAATATTAATTAAATTTTAATATATTTAATTTTTAATTTAGGGTATTTAAATTTACTTGTTTATTTTAAAATGTACTAAAATACTTTTTTTATACTTTACCTTTATTTTAAAAAGATAATTATAACATATATTAAACAAGA